GTGTCCATGCTGAAAGCATCCAGCAAAATGCATTTTGCCTCGAGTGGAAAGTGTGCAAGAGCACACACTGCCTGGGCTGATGGCCCACTGAGCAGTGCCCAATGCAAGCCTTGTAACAGCCCATGGAGCAGGAAAGCTTTCAGGACATTTTCTAGTCTACTGCATGCACCATGGCAGGATCACCTCTGCTTAGGCCTAAATGCCAGCCTTTGCTTTGCAGCTCTGATGCGATTCATGGGAGATCAATCAAAACTCAAGAACCAGAATGAGGTTGAATGCATCTATGAAATCCTTCAGGTTTGTGAACTTCCCCTGGGCAAGATGCTGCAGCACCAATGGGAATGAAGGGCCCTTGCTGGGAAGGGAGAGAGCAAGGAGAGTCATAATACAACCTCCCACATGAGAAAGGGAGTGGAAACAGAGAGGCTGATTAAAAAAAAACGGAGGGGAGTGGGGAGGAGTTGCAAGTGCATGGTTTCCCTGGACATCACTGTCTGGATGAGAGCATAACCTGCCTCTACTTCTTTGGGCCTAGATAGCACTAGAGACCAGAGGCTGCAAAGCCCAAGCTTTAAGCCAAATTGGCAGAGCTCCAGAGGTCTGGGAGAGGAAGGGCACAGAGACAACCTGGGGCCTCTCTGATGCTCTTGTCCTGTCTCTGATGGTGTCTTCTCTCTGAATGCAGCTGTGCAAGGAGAAAGAGAGTTTGCATGATGAGATCTACTGCCAGGTCATCAAACAGGTCACCCACAACCCTAACCAGTGAGTATGAGCACTGTCAGCTCCTGTGCATGCACAGCTGGAGGGGAACCATCTGCCTTGCTGCATAGACAGCAGGGCCAAGAGAAAGGCTTCCCCCAATGATGTATTGTCCCCAGCTGCTCAGTTGCTGGGGCTTTTGCTGAGCACTCAGGAAATTTAGCCAGTCCCTGGCTTTGGCTTTTTCACTTTAGTGTATGTTTTTCTCCTTCTCTCTGGCTACTGATATATCTGGGCACTGGAAAACATTCCTGGTAGCTCCCAGGAGTGGTGCTGCTCAGAGTCCTGATTTCCTCATCACAGCCCTGGGGAACTGATAAAAGAGTTAGGGACTGGCTTGACCCCACACTGCCGTGCGATATGGCAGCAGTGGCGTCAGAGTGGCCTTGACTGTTCACTTTCTTTGTTTGCAGTTGGAATAACTGAATTAATCCCTTACTCAGCATAAGAAACCTTTGACCAAGGGCCACCATCTCATTTTCTGCCAGCTCCTAAAGGTGTTCAGAAGGGCAGAGGCTTCCTTTGAGCTGCTCTGAGCAGTAATTTTCTTGTTCCAAGGTGCCCACAGTTCTTTCTGTCCCACAGGGAGAGCGTGCTGCGTGGCTGGTTGCTCCTAAACCTGCTAACTGGGTACTTCCTCCCTTCTAATATCCTGATGCCCTATGCCACCAAGTTTCTGCAGCTAGCCAGCAGTGATCCATCTAGCACCCACCATGGTATGACTGTTTGTGTATCTGTAAAATAAATGGCTGCCCCCATGTTACTAAAGCCCAGTGGTCAAGGAAAGAAGACAGGATCCAGGTGGGGACATGGTCCAATGGGGAAATCTCCCTTATCCTGTTAGGCAGGAGAAATGAGTGAGGTACTGAGGGACCTGAGCCTGCAGGAAAGTGTCTGTATCTCTAGTCTTTCTGTTTGCAGAGGTAATTTCCCATTGCATCTTCGTCCAAGCAAGATGTAACTGTGTGTCTGTGTGGGGCTTAGCTTAGGCCTGTGGCTTAGGCCCAGTTTGACAGATAGACCTTGGGGGAAAGGCAGACTGTGGTCTTCCAGAGTCATCAGCTGTGAGGTACTTGAGTTGGAATCCTGCCAGAGAAGAGGGTTCTAGTTCTCCCATCCTGTGTACTCCTACTGCCCTGGATGCTGTCTGGGGCTGGGCCCTCATGATTTGGATGTGTCCTCACAGAATGGGAGACGAGTTCAAGTCTCTTTCCTCTCCTAGCAGCAGCCCTGGGTTAAATTCAACACAGCCAGGATGACTCAATACCATAGAAGACAATACTAGTCCTCTGTTTGGCTCAGCACATGAAGCTTTTTCCTTTTCCTGCAGATATAGCCAAGATCTGTCAGAGCAACCTACGGAAAAACTTCATGTATGGGGGCCGTCGCCACCTTCCTTTCCCTGTGGAGATAGAGGCGTTGCTGGTATCGAGGGGAAAAGAAGTGGGGATGCTGGGAAGAGAGGGAGGGCAGAGGCTTGCCAGGAGGTGCCACATACACTGTTGGAAGGGCGGTTAGTGTTCCAAGAGAGGAAATGAGGGATGTGACTGTATGGGGACTGGGAAGTGCAGTGCCATGGAGTAGGCAGGAATGTGGGCAGGGAAGAGGTGGGTACTATATGGGCAAGGAGTGGAAAGCAGAGATGAGGAGGAAGGAAGAGGGAGAAACAAGTGTGGGGCTGATGGGATCCTGCATGTCTTGATGCCTAAAGACTGTCCTTTGCAGAAGGGGCGCAGTGCCCGCCGGCTAGTGATACCGATGCCTGGAGGTGTGGAATACCTCACCAGAATCAAGACGTTCACTGTGAGTTTTCTGCTTCGTGTTTCTTCATTGATCTGGACTCAGCCGCACCAGGGAACTCCCTTATCCTTCAAAACCATGGGTCTGGCCTGTGCTTCCCACAGTGCCGTGACAGTTTCCCACTCCCTAGCAATCCCTTTGGCAGTGTTATGTCTGCAGGGCCTGTGCGATGCTGGGATGCCTCACCCAGCTTGCTTCTTTGCACACTGGCCAGAGCCATACTGCTGCTCTCCAGCAGGGCCAGTGTGTCTAACTGCTCTGGGGCTGCTTTGGGCTTGCCTGGCCATGGTACTCACTTGCTGCTTTCCTCACTTCAGGTGGCCAAGGAGCTCTTGCAGGAGATCTGTGAGCAGATGGGGGCAGGTGAACAGGAAGAGATACAGGATTTTGTTCTTCTTGCCACCAGGAGTGACAGTCATAATCTTGGCAAGTAGTGACTAGTATCTAGCTTCTTTCTTAAAGCAGTTTCTCCAACAAGGAGTACCATGGCTACTATTTCAAATAGTTCCCCCACCCTTGCTGGGTCTGGGGGGGGTTCCTCTTCAGCAGCTTCCCTCTGTACTAGGGTTAACAACTGTGCCTTCCCAGGAGCTTGTTCCTGAGGTGTGTGTGTCTGTGTGAGTCCATGTCCCTTTGGAATGGCTGATGCTGGGAGTTGTAAGGGCAGGGTGGAATAGAGGTGTACAGGAAGGCTTCTGTCCCAGGCCATGGAGCTCAGCCCGCTGTCTGAGCACCAAGAGTGATGACCCTCTTTCTGCGTAAACATTGTAGACAAAATGGTGAGGCCAATAAGATCAGAGGAGTATCTTCATGATTACCTGCTGGAGGACAAGTTGGTCACTGTGACTTTACGCAGGCTCATCTGGAGGACACCTCTGCACTTTGAAAACAAAATTTATGTTGATGTTCATTATGGACAGGTAAGCAATGAGGGCAATGTGCACACCGGAAACCTCCCTAGCAGGGGCAGAGTCAGTGCACAAGCGGGTGGGAATGTCCCAAGGGGGCTGAAGAAGTGGGAGGGCTTTGGTTTTGTATGCTGTTTCTGGGAATGGCTAATAATTGAAGCTATGGATGCAAGGAAGACAGTGTGCCTGTAGCCCTAGCCTATGACCTATACTGTTCCAGACACGGTTTGTGCAGTTCTGCCTGCTTTTCCTGAGTTCAGAAAGTCTTTGCTTTTGTGTTATCAGCTTGAGCTGGATGTGTTATCAGCAAGGCAGGATGTGGGTCTCTGCAGCTTGGCGCGGCCCAGACCTGTCTGTACCTTCTGGCAGGTTTAACAAAGGCCTCTTCCCTCTGCTGTCTCTCAGATGCTGTGGGATTACCTGAATGGGAAGATACTGTTAAGCCATAGTAAAGAAATGGAGGTGCAGGTGGGCATTTTGGCAATGCTCCAGCACTGGGCCAAAACAGAGCAGCAGAACTCCGCTCCTTCCAGGTATGTTTGTCTCAGCGTGGGTCTCCATCTCTAATGGCTGTTGGCACCACAGGGGTTAGGGTTGGTGCCTGATTATGGAATCGAGTCCAACCATACACCTAACACTGCCAGGTCCACCACTAAACCATGTCCCTAAGTGCCACATCTACACATCTTTTAGATACCTCCAGGGATGGTGACAGTTCTGGAGAACCTAAGATACTAATTAATGTCACTTAGTGACTGACTCCTGCCCATAATCAAGAAAGTTTACCTCCTGTTCACAGTCTTAATGCTGACTGTCTCTGATCCACATTTCCTTTTGTGACTTCTCCTGAGCTGAGGGTCTTGAGGGTGCCATGGACGTTTCTTTTGACTGCCCTGTGTCTGTAATACCAAGAAGGAAGTGTATGAGCTTATAGTTGAGATGAATGCTCCTTTGTTCTTTCTACAAGTGCCAGAGTTTTCAACTCTGGGCACCTGAAATCTGTAGCAAGATGCCTAATGGGAATCAAAAGGTTTCTGGGTACTGGAAAGCTTCTGTCCTGCAGGCCTGAGCTGTATTTTCACATTCCTTCCTTCCTGTATCCTGATGCAGTTTGACTCAGAGTGGAGGTAATGTCTCCCTCAGATCCCCTCACACCACTAGCAGCAGGGAGTAATGGCATAATGCTGCTGGGCATGGGGAACTCTGCTCTGTGTAGTACTTCGGAGGCACAGGAGAAAGACACAGAGTAAGTTGGTTTTCAGCTGAGACTGCCTATGAAAGAAACACCTTGAAGCGGTCCTGTAGTTTCCAGAAAGGCGGGATTTCTCTCAGGGCACTGGTTAGTTACAGCTGCCTTCTGTGTGGAAAACGGTGGTCTCACTGTCTCTGATATTTCCTTCCACGTTATCCGATTCGGACACAACCTGTTGTGCTCTTCCCCTCTCCCTCCATCCTTGCCCGGAGCCATGCAATTGAAAGTTGTCACCACATCTCCTTGTTCCTCTTAATCCTCCTGGTGGATCTTTCAATTTTAACTGGGCAGGGGGTGAACTAGTCTCTGCTTGTTGGCACAGGGAAGAGCTGAAGGAGTACACACCGAAGACCCTGCAGTCCTCCATCAGACCCGAGCCTCTGCAGGACCATGTTGGCATGCTACTGAGAACCAGGCAGCGCCTTCAGCCAGTGGATGCAAAAATCCAGTTCATAGGTGAGGAGACATCCAAATCTGCTTGAGTCATCTATCCTGGGCATGGTGGAAGCTGCTCTGAATGCACTTTTGGGACAGTTCATGAGGTTGGTGAGGACCCTTGGAGCCTGGAATGGGCCATGACATGAGACTCCCTGCAGACTGGGACTTGTTCCCAAACACAGTGATCATGGTCAAGTCCCAACTCTTTTGTAGAATCTGCAGCAGATTTTCAGAGGTCTGTACAAGTTGTGTTTTAATTGATATTCTGGGTGCACATCTGTTTTCTGGTCAGAAAAGAACAGGACATCTACTCAGGTTGCTGAGAACTTAATATTAGCAGCCTGGGAGGGAGGGAGCGAGGGAAGGAGACATTTTCAATCTTACTTTTTAATGTAGAAAAGCTTGAGAACACCTGCAGCTTTTGACCACCTTAGGTTTGTGCAGTAGATTTTTGTTTGGAAGCTGCTGCCTGAAAGATACCTTTTGCTTTCTTACAGAGCACATGATGAAATTGCCTTTCTTTGGCTACATCACCTACTTTGTTGAGAGAGTCAGCGATGACACAATCCTTGTGCCCTGTTTCTTTGGTGTGAATAAAGAAGAGATCATTGTGGTGGACAGCACCACCCAGGTATGCCAGACAATTCCTCCCTAGGCTCCAGAGCCCTGATGTCTGTCAGGTGTTAACTTTGACTTTTAGAAGAACTTGTGCAGGAAGAGACTATATTTATCTGCATCACGGCCACTCTAACAACAGCCCTAGCCCAAGGCAAGTGCCAGGAGTGGTAGACCAGTTAGTACTGCCGTGTGCTCTTCTCTAAGTCCAGTGATCATGCTAACAAGCATGGTCCACAGTAAAACTAAGTGTAGGTCCCATTTCTGTTTGTCCCAGTCTTGCAGAATTCTCGGGACATGCCGGCAGCAGGAGGTTGCCCAGTATTCTGTACACGCTGCCCTGTGCCCCAGTCCTTGTCTCAGTTTGCAATAGGCTCTTGAGATGAATCCTCCTCCCTGGTGAGAATCAGATGGTTTTGTTTGTAAGGACTGCACCAGAGTGTTTTGCGGCTTTTGTCCTTACACAGGCAGTCTCCTGCGTCATTCCATTGAAGGAGCTGCAGAAGATGCGAACCCTGCAGCCTATGTCTGATGGTGGGCTTCCTGGCATAGAACTGAACTATGGCTCGGCTGCCAGCCCCAAGACTATGTGGCTTGAACTGTCACAGGTGAGATGAGCCTGAACCTACAGCTTCCTCCTGGCAATTCAGAAATTGCCCTCCCCTGCTCAGCTGAGCCTCTGCTAAGAGCCAGCACTGCTGCTCTTCTCTGTCCCAGAGGTGGATGGGGGCACTGCATTTCCCAGGCCCCAAAGTGCATCTTTGTTCCAGCACCTATGTCATATTTAATTATGGAAAGTGATTTATGGGAATACTTAATTATGAGAAGCAGCCATTTCTGGGGCAGAGAATGACCGATACTGATCTGTGTTTTGACAGGCTAAAGAAATGTATCACACGATTGTTGTCATCCTGGAGAAAACAGAGTTGCACCACTAAAGCCTAAGCACAGGAGAATGACCAAGCTAAACAGCAGTTTTCCTTTCTCTGAGCTTGTTCAGTGTTCCCTTCCCCATCTTCTGGAGAGGACTCTTCCAAAAGACATCCATGACCTCAGACAGCTGCTTTCTAAGACTGCCACCACAGCATTTGTTGGTGGACTGGACCATCATCTCACCCCTCGTGACCTGCCATTCAGTCCCCAAGTACTCTTCCTTGAAGCGATGCATGCACTGGCTGAACAAACCCCAGGCACCCTTGCCAACCAACTGCCTTTCCAGAGCCTGTTCCAACACAGAGCAGCTGAGCAGATGCAAGCAATGACCTTCAGGCTATGCAGTGTGGGACCAATCTTTTCTGAATTAACATGAACAAAGACTGATGCTTGCTAGGGATCCGTGTATCACAACACAAAGCTGAGGCTATGAAATGACTGCACTGGCTGCTGGCGTTTTCACAGGCCAGCTTCTCTGCTGTATTGATATGCAAGAGGCCCTGTAGCAGGATTTGTGAAGCAGGAGCTTGTAGAAAGCATCTTAATTGCAAAACAGATCAGTGTTAATATAAAATTAACACATATGCTGGGGTACAGATTGAGCTGCAATGGTAAGACAGTTTATTGTTAATTATTCTTACTAACATAATTATATGTGTATGTTTTCCTCTACTATAAAGAAGTCAGTCATGTCCATGCAGCTGTCGTACTTAAATGATGGCTCCATGCCCATGGAGAAACCATATTCAAATGGAACTTGTATTACAGTAGAGTGTCCTTGGTTGTACAAAAATGCTTAATTTATTTTTATTGCTACAGCTTTCCTACTGAACTGAAAAGTATCTGCACTTTAGGAGATTGCAATAAAATATTCACATAGAGATATTTTGAAGCTATGACGTGACTGAAACTGGTTTACATCCAATATGGGAACACTGACCTGCAGGTAATGGGCAAAGCTTGAGTGAAAAAAAGGTTGTCAGTGTTGGCTGGGAATGGGGTAGATCTGAGGGTGCTCAATGCAAGCCATGATGCACAGTTAGTTTCTTGCTGGTGAGCTGATGCCACCAGTAACTACAGAATGTTCCCTGTCAGGAACTTCCCTTCAAGTGCTGCTTGCTGGGGCCTGTGAGGTCATAGCTGAAGCATGCTCTGCCCTCCTCCTTCAGCAGTGCTACTGCAAGGCTAGGTAAAGCACTGCGGCAACGTGAAAGAAAGGAATAGAGAAGATCTCTGAAGATGAACTTCATAGAATCACAGAATGGTTTGGTTTGGAAGGGAGCTTAAAGACCATCCAGTCCCACCCCCCTGCCATGGGCAGGGACACCTCCCACTAGCCCAGGTTGCCCAAAGCCTCATCCAGCCTGGCCTTGAACCCCTCCAGGGATGGGGCATCCACAGCTTCTCTGGGCAACCTGGGCCACTGCCTCACCACCCGCACAGGAAAACATTTCTTCCCAACATCTCATCTAAATCTCTCCTCTTTCAGCTTAAAACCATTACCCCTTGTCCTATCCCTACACCCCTGATCAAGTCCTGCAGCTATAAGGAGTTGGGGGTGGCTCCTGGGATATGCCTCCATCCATCCCATCCCAGGCTTGCATTTATTAGCCGTCTGTTCAGATAAGAAACGAGCTTTCATGTTTATGTTCAGAGTAATGGAGTCTTAATGTATTTTAGACCAGTCTGTAGGAATAATTGTTAAGAAAAAGCTTTCAGGAAGAGTCCACAGCAGCTATAACATTGTTTTATTGTCAGTTCTGCACCTACCCTTCAGTACATTTAAAAAAAATACATCTGTTGAGTACAATGATCCAAAAGCCTGTTTGATGGCCTCTCAGGCTGCAGATTTCTCTATCAGCACTAGTGCCTGAGGCTGCCAGTCTCTACAGGCATGGAACAAAGGCAGAACCCAACAAAAACCCAACAGAAAGGACTTGTGCCAGGGAATCAGGTTATTTCAAGCCCCCTGATACCCTAAAGTTCAGGTCCTTATATAAATATAGCAGCAGAGGCACCACAGTGTCAATTTGAGGGCCACAGCAGTACCCTACCCAGTTGTAACAGCAGCATTGCCCTCTGTATTGCAGACTGTGGGTGAGGCACAGGGAGCAGATATGGCTTTAGGAGTTACAAGCAAATGCTGGAAAAGTGTTGGCAACCTTAGTGCCACTATTGGAGAGGTTAATACTGAAAGAGCATCACTGCTTAAGTTAAAGAGCAGGCAGAACTAGACAAAGGTAAAAAAAAGTTCCGATTAAAAGAAAAAGAATCCGAGTTTCTCCACCTTCAGAAAGTAGGCATTGCCTGCATGGTAAAAACAAAATGCTCCCCTCCTGCCCTCCAGGGGAAAACATTCCATCTAGGCACTCAACCGTCAAGATCATCATTGGCAGCCCTGAGCAAAACATGTGAACTTGTAGCATAACTATTGGTAACACTGAAATAAGAACTGAGAGGGGGGAGCAAGGGGAAGAGCCATCGAGGAAGCAAGATGCCATCCCAAAGCAGAGTCCCAGTTAGAAAGTCTGAGCCCTTCCCAGGCTGCTGCAAGGAGCAGAGGCTGGAGACACTGCTGGAGAACTTCTGTGGCAGCAGCCTGTAACCTACACAGCAGATGCAGACTGCACCCCTCCTGCCAAGAGGTACCAGAGGGCTGCAGTACCCTGGTTACCAAAAAAACTCTCTGCAAGTTCACAGAAAGTGGTTCCTGGAAGTGCGTGCCACTAAGGACAGAAGTGAGCAAAAATGCAGTGGGAAAGATTAAGCACACTTCGGCAGCTTCATGAAACTCCATGGCTGAGTTCTTCAAGATCCCCTGGTCCCGCTGCTGAAGGAAGGAAGACAGCCACCATGACGCAAGGATCAGCTCTCTGACCTCTGCAGCTCCTGCCAGTCTGTCTCACTCTCACACCTGACCCTTGTTTTGAAAAACTCCTTGATGAGTCTCTGTGCTTCCTCCTTCACTGCAAGAGAGGAAGCACCACCTTTGAGACAATACTTAAGACATCTGCTCCCTCTATAGACTTCAATCCATTTAGCACCAAAAGAACCCAAAAGTCCGAGTGCTCTCCCCAGCTGCCAACTCACCAGTCTTGCGGGCAGGGTTCTGATCTTCAGTCAGTAAGTGAGACAGGTGCCGAGCAAAGCCCTTAAACAGATCCTGCAGAATTGGGGAAGATAATGAACAGAAAGCAGACGTCAGTCACCTCACCAGACTGTTCCCACATTCGTCTTGCCCTTAGCACAGGCTGGCTGTGAGCACAAACCATTCAGACATTTAGGCTACAGGAGTGTTGCAAACCTGCCACTACACCAGCCCCTGCACTGCTGGAGAAGCACACGCACACGTGCTCCCTTGCAGAACACATCACGTAAACTGCACCAGAACTGAACCTGGTCTGTTGCTGCTCCATATGTGGGAGTTCTTGAAAACTTACCAGAGTTTAGTGTGAAAACATGAACAATCACAAACAAGTAGGGAATCAACATGATACCACTCTAAATCTCAAACAAACCTTTTCTTGGGAGAGGGGAGTTGCTGCACCTAGAGTCTCTGAAACAGCACATAACAAGCTGTGACTTGTAAGTGAAATGTGGTACCCAGATCATCTTCCCCTTCCTAGAGCCCCCAAACACTAGGGAGAAGTGGTCTCCTGCTAGAGATGGTCTTGATCTGTGCCCTACCTTAGAAGCAAATTTTCCACCCTTGTAGAATGGGGTCAAATATTTGACAACGATGTCTGCTGTCTCTTTGAGGGACGCGCCTTTGGTCACTGGCTGTACAGTCTTGCTGGTTCCCTCTTTATCACACTGTGATAAGTTTGGATCGAAAGTCACCTTCTTCTTTGTTGGACCAACACTTCTGCTTTCTGGCTGGGATAGAATAGAAGATTTTGCCACTGTCCGTAGCCGCTTTGTTGCAGGACTTTCCATATCCTGGAGATGGGACAGAAAAAAACCAAAATCACCAATTCCTGTGGCAGCACTACGTGTCCAAGCAGCCACTACCTTCTGAGAACAAGAATCTCTGCAGCATCCTGCAGGCTCTCCCTATAGTGGCACCCATTGTGCCATTTTGCTGTGCAGACATAATACACTGTTTTCCACACCAAGAGAGTTTAAGAAAAAACATTTAAGACTACCACATTTAGAACTACCCTATGCTCTATTAGGGCAGCTAATTACTAGACCCTGTCCTATACGGGAAAAAATGATAGGAAGAGATTTCCCAGGATATCTGCTGAGCATACACCCCTCAGGAACAATCAGACACTTCAGGAGTGCCACACTCCTGCTCAATTTGAAAGAGCAAGGAAAAAACTACACTGTTCAGTAGGGACAGCTACCAGGCAGTCTCAGATGGCAAATGCAGAACCAGAGACTGAATGGCAAGGAAGGCTGCGAGTGTGGTTTGCTTCTGCGTGGTGCTGCACATCACTGGCCTGTGGTCATTCCCTTGACTTGAGAAAGCACCTTGCTAATTATAGCTACAGAGCTAGAGGGGGTGGAGAGACTCATTCCAGGCAAGTCACCAGCAAAGGGTACGGTCACATGCATTGCAGAGAAGAGGAAACAAAGCGGAGTCAAGGGGAAGCTTTCCACTGCTGTCTGAGTCACTGGCGCTGGCCCAGTGCTGGCAAGGGGACGGCAGGAGTGCAATGCAATTATGGTTCTCCCCTCTGCTGTAAGCGCAGCTGGGCCCTCCCCAGGTAAACAGCACTATCGGGTGAAGTTCAGATTGGGAGCGTAACTCCCAGAAACTTGCCACATGATAAGCAGAAGAAATAAGAGGAAATTATTATCCATTAAAGTCTTACCTCATTGGATCCTGGTCGCTTCCCGCACTCACCTTCCCCAACAACACTTAGCTCAGTTTCTGTGATATTTTCAGCAACACTAGTGGGAAGAATGGAGGGAAGGCCAATTTTAATCATTCTACAGTGAAGATATTACTGTACTTACTGTCGGTGGCCACACCTTTCCATGGTAAAGCAGGAGTCTT